GCAGGAGAGAAGCAAGAACTTGTAAACTTCCATTATAGTAATTATAATAATAATATTAAAAACTTATGCACAACTCCATTTTAGGGTTCTTTAAATATGCCTAAGAAAATATGTGGCGTACTGGAGTGCTGACCGCGATTGAGGTTATGAATAGTCTAGATTTGAGTAGCTCCACACCGTCAGTCAATTCGTCGCTTCAATTTTTGTACTGCGTATTTAAGGCTCGTAGGGCTTAAGTCATCTGTTGCCATGTGGAGGTACAATGAGCAATCGCTTTGCCGAGTTATCCTATCAGCTTATCAAGAGGATCAATGTTGGATGTGATTTATTAAGCCTAACGTGTCAACGAACCATAAGTCAAATAGTGTCATGTCATTAATTACTTGCAAAATAAATACATAAGTCAGACGACAATATAGCTGGACTATCTTCCTTTGCCGAATCAACGAATGTCTCGATGGTTGTACGTACCTTCGTAAAGGCTGAGGCGACCCAATAAAGTATCTCTAATACCAACGTTCTTAAAGGACAGGTTGATGATCAAGTACCACACTTCACTGCTCTTAATCGTTTTTCGGCAACAAACCACAATTTTCACAACAATTATAAGTGTTGAGCAAGTTGTGTCCACAGGCCGAAACCTATAAATAGGTAAGTTCCGCCTCACTTTTTTGGTACATGAAACTATTTTTCTCTTTAAAAATAAATCGGACTTAAACTGACTTTAGTGTCGAAGCCTTTTTTCTCTATATAGGTTCTGAGCGTTAGTCGACTTACCTAGTCCGACTGTTAAGAGACAATCATTTTTTGTGATCAAACAATACTGTTTGGGGGTGAAAATAAAACCACCACGTGGAGGACAAGAGGATGTTCACCTGGACGCATCCAAATCCAGGTCACCTCGCAGCTGTCTGAGGTGACAAACCTAGCCAAATATTTACTATGAGAACTATTTTGTGGCATCTAGGTTCGACTCACAGTTTGGGACGCGTTCGACCTGCTCTCCTACACTAATAACCGTTTGTCAGAAGGTATGTCGGATCCTAAACCTATAAATAGAGGGTATCACTGTCGCAAACAGGTATCAAATTCTCGAACTTACTATTGAGTCTGAGCTGTTACTAACTTGAACGTTAGAGTGTTTGCCTCTCTTATGCAGGTCATCCCCCAACGAGGCGAGTCAGCTATTCCACGTATCTGACCTTGACCAGATCAGACCTCACCTTGTTTACACATACACAAATACCAAACAAATATTTTTAAAAAGTGTTTATAACCGCTTAAATTTCCATAAACAATCCCTTCAAAAAAAAAAACATTTTAGGTCAAATTGTAGGTGAACGTGACTGTTGGTTATATAAACTCATTGTGGCTGTAACACTCTCTTACCATCATTTAAAAAAAATCTTTTTCTAAAACGAAAATAAAAACAAAAGTTTTTTGATTCATAAGTTGGCCACGATTTATCCAAGAGGGGTCGCAGAGCATTGGGTGGAGCAAAACGAGAGACGTCCCATATCCACACAATTCTCTAACAAACACCTTCCACACCCTCATAACATTTTTCCAAATATCCACTTTTTTACCCAAAAAAATAATATTTTAATTTCCCCCAAATAACAAAATTCCAACAGCTCCCCATTCATTCCCCCGTTTATCGTTTATCCATCCCCAATGGCACTCGATAAGTGTATGCAATTGAGCAGCGCCGCCGCCACTCCCACTCCCAAGCCTCACCCATTCTGTCCAAATTACTACCACAACACAACCCTCTCCCTTCTCAAACCACAAAACAAATTCCCCAGTAATTGTAATTCCAATTTGAGATTCAGGCTCGCCTCCACATTCAGAAACAGAAGATGCTCCCCTGTCTCCTGCAAGGCTCGTGGCGCCGTGGACGACGGTTAGTTGAGTTACACAACTTTTTTTTATTGAAATTGTGGGGTTTTGGAAATGAATCTGATTGAAAGGGAATGGGATTGGCAGTGAAGGAGGTGACGGAATCGAGCTGGGAGGAAATGGTGGTGGGAAGTGAGAAGACGGTGCTGGTGGAGTTCTGGGCGCCGTGGTGCGGGCCGTGCCGTATGATAGAGCCAGTGATCAAGGAATTGGCGCAGGAATATGCAGGCAAAATTGTGTGTTTGAAGCTCAATACGGACACCAGCCCCAACGTGGCCTCCAAATATGGGATTAGGAGCATTCCCACGGTTCTGTTCTTCAACAATGGCCAGAAGAGAGACAGCGTCATTGGGGCTGTCCCCAAATCAACCTTGTCCGCCACCATTGACAAGTATCTCCAACCTTGAACTTTCAACACTCCGCATCATCACCACACCTTCTTCCAATCTTCTTCTTTTTATGTGTATATCGTCCTCTATAAATGCAAAACCTTCTAATTCTATCGTTCCATTCATCCATCTCTTCTCTTCGATTCTGTTCTACCAACTTTTTCTACGTTTTTTTTGGGAGTTGTTAGCTTAAATCTTTTACATGTTTATGAAATTGAGAACAATATAGTTAAATGACGGGTTTTGTTTTCAACTTTAAGGCGGTGTACAATAGGATTCTAAACTGAAATTTTCTGAAGCGTGGGTTAAAAATATGTTATTTTTATCAAATTAAAAAACTGAAGCATAGCCGTAATCATCATCACCACTATAGTTCAAAACTAATTTTTGCATTTTCCCCTTGATTAACAAGCACAAGAAAGAGTTCTTTTCTCCCTTTTCCGTGAGAACAATTCGGATAAACAAATTCTTCGTGGAATTGGGGGGATCAGAATCAGAATCTTTTTCTGGCTTCCTCTCTTCTACTTTTACTATTAGGCATAAACAAATCATTCCCATATAATGTTCAATAAATTAAACTTCCTCCTGCGAAATCATATCATTCCAAGACCAAGAGGGCTCAACCTTGTTTTACTTTCCATGTGGTCTGTTTCTAGATTTAGCAACTGGGTCCCCTTTTAGTTCCCTAAAACTGTGGGAGATTCACTTGATTTGTTTTTTCAGTACTTTCTCAAATAATTCATTCACCTCAATTGAAACTTCCTTCAGTTACCACTCTGCAACCCCTTTTGGATTTCTTCCAAATGACCAAATTCCTTGAAAAAGCATAACAGAACCTAAAATGCTATGAAGAAAGTAGATAAAATGGAAATTGCCAAAAGGCCAAATATTAGAGAGAGAAAAAACTATAGAAATAGACAGGTTACATTTGAAATCACAGGAAACCTGCCCCCTATCACCCCATCACCGGCCGTCACACTTCCCTTTTTGTATATATTAAAAGCAAACAAATTGGTACACCGTGTGGATCGTTATGCCCCGTACCTGTTTCGCCATGCGGTACCTGCCATCTCTTGCAGGGCCATTGGCAAATCTTCATAATTTGAATGCTGCGTAAGAGCAGCTCAGATCAAGCATCAACCCATGTATGATCCTTGTATAGCTTTTCTTCATGGGGATGGCTTCCAGTCATATTGGAGATTACTAAAGCCATTTACAGCTCCTAGTCCGCTTAGAAGCTGGTTTCCCAAATCCTGTGGTTGACCATTCATGCTTTGTTCTCGAGCAAGAGACGCCATTCCTATTCGTCCGTTCATAATGGAATTATTCCCCATTGCTGTTCTCATTCCATTGACCATGGCAGGTTGCCCAAGCCCACTCCCCATCGATCCATATCCGCCACCTCCCATGCCGGGGCCACCATTGGTTGTTCCGTTTCCCCCTAAACAGTTCCCATTATTGAGACCTGTATTGCTTGTAGGTAAGACCCCATTCACATTTTTCATATCATTGACCAGCGAACCAACGCCAACCAGACTCACCGGGCCATTGATTTGACTATTCATCATCATCTCTTGTAATATCTTTTGAACGGAGGACTGTGTATCACCAGGATCGGCATCTCCGGACAATGTGGGTTGTTGCATGGACATATTTGCCGGAGAATTAGCAGCACTCATTTGATTGGCATTATTTGCAGCTGTATGTGATGGTTGTGAAAGGTTAGATGATGAAGGAGTTGGTGGCTGGAATGTAGAAGAGTTTGGTTGTGTAGGCGGAATTGTACTGGAAGAACCAGGAGATGGAATCTGGACAGAACTTCCCCCATATGAGTTGCTAGCATTTGCCATAGAGTTATGCTGTCTGGAGTTCATAGAGTTCTGGTGAAGAAGCCCAACAATGGTGCTTGCTGAGTTTGATGTTGAAGGTTGGTTCACGGTGTTATTTACACTGGCCACACCATTGCTAGCTGTCAGTTGCACTGCAGTGGCCTGGACAGAACTCGGGTTATTATTTTTTTGCTGGGCTATAGATGATTGCTGTTGTTGTTGCTGATGATGTTCATCAGCAACTTGAGCTTGATCTGTAAGCCCCGATGATGAACTAGTCCTCCGAGGAAACTTGGCTAGACTATCTGATTAATAATACAAGAAGACACATTCAATAATCTATTAAAGAACAGTGATACCATTTAAACGCAACAGAGATCAGAATCAGATTCAAAAGTCGTAAAAAATAGCTGTTTAACGTATCATAGCACATAAAATATCAATAACAACAAACATATAATCTTTTCAAACTTTTTTGGTCCACCTTGCTTCTGAGGCAAAACAGAAAACATGACCCCATACAAACTACAGTTAGGAAGCTTCAGATTTTCCTCCCTCAGAATCTCTATCAATTTGATATGAAGGACCCCTTCCATAACAAAAACAAAAACCGTCTTCTCCATCAAACCCTTCAAGTTATTCACTTCAAATTTCTAAACAGTTCGTAATCTTACTAAAGATCTAAAGTCATGTACAGCACCATCCAACGGTTATTCTACTAGACCACAGGTATGGGTTCAGACTTTCAATCAGCATTAGAATGACCACTAGACAATCATTTGATCCTAAACATTTCACAGGAAAATATGCATAGGCATTATTATTTTGAACCTATGGCCTCAAAGAGGTCTGGTTTTACAACTTTTTCCATTGATCATTTGGCCAACCCAGGATAATTAATGTGATTCTTGAGTTAGAAAACTGTTTGTTATTTAATATAATAGATTATTAACGCAGCTTCCGAACTGCCCTTGAAAAGCTGCTAAAAGATCATAAAACAATAACATCGACAAGATTGTACTTACCCATTGGCCCAATCCCCGTTTCTTTGCTGTAATCAATCAAGTCCTTCATGCTATTAACCACTTCGGATATCTGAAGAGCCAAAAGAGAAAGCCATAATATACAAGAGGGAAAAAAAATGGTCAAAACTTAGATATATACATGTAAAAATGGTTCAGTTTTAGTGACCGTGAAATAAATAGCTGAAATATATCTATGAATCAATAGGTTATATTATGTGCAGTAAGCCATGAACAATTGAAAGTGAAAATTATCCAAAAGTGTATTCCATAACTAAACATCACTCTACTTCGCAGAACCATCCATCGACACACATTCACAGTGGAGCACAAAATAATCAGATATAACAAACACTTCATGAAAATTCATACGCAGATATGTTATCAACTTATCACAAATTAAGAAACAAGTTCACATAATTTAATAAAATTTCAATAATATTCCAACATAAACCAAAAGAAGTATTCATGGTCTTCATGATCCATCCAAAACATTAATTATTGGACTTGGAAAAATGGTGGCAAAAACAGGCTTCTTAAATATCTGGAAAAAAAGGATTGACTGGTGGAGTTAAGAGATGAAAGTAAAGGAAGTTTCATCATCCGTCGAGGATTATCAAGTTATGTAAGCATGAGCATTGCACAAGATTCTGCAGAACAAGCTGAGAATATTAACTAGGTGAAACCACAAAGCCAGGGAAATTATCAAAATTAACCTGAAGAAAAGTAGTCAAACCTCATGAGAAACTACATTCAAGAAAAAGAAACCCAAGGAAACAAACCATTTGAGAGGATCTATCCCATGGAAAACAATATTCAAATACAATCCAGTCATATCAAAACTGATTATTTAGAAGAGATATGCATTAAATAACCATCCCAGTGAGTAAAAAAGTTATTTATAAATAAAACATCTTCAATACCCAAGACTCGGTACAATCAACCCAAACCTATATTCTTAAGCGAAGAACGCTCATCTAAATGAAACTAAAAACCCTGGTGGCTATCAATAATAACCATCCCAGTACAAGATAAGTATTCGGATTATAAATACTACTGAATATCATAAAAATAAATACTAATTACTAAGAATCTATTAAAATAAAATGGATATTTATTTGTCATTGTATACCACAGTCTTCAACTTTTTGACTCATAACAACCACAAATTGATGTGACTTGTGAGTTATTAATTATTAATTACCTGAAGACATCGTACATATCTCTTCGTATATCCCAAGTCATTTACCAGCGGAACTTCCAAGGCTTTAGCTAATTGTCGCGCTGAAGCCACAAACCTATGCACAATTCATTAAGGGCTTGAATGAACTAGAAAACTATAATGGGTATCAAACAAAGTACATAAAAGTCAGTGTTAAACAGATTGATATACCAATCAGAATGTGAAGATTTCTTAGTGTACTTTACATAAAACATCTACAGAGTTCGACTTTCTAAAGACGCCCACATATGCCCATTATATAAGGCCACCCATCTTATAGGTCTACACAAAATAAAAACAAGCCTCATTTGGTTACATACAAATCTTTCTTTTTACATGATTGGTTATATACATATCTTTACAAACAAGGAATGAATGCCAAAATAATTCCATTCTCACCGGTGAATGAATGCTCAAAATAATTTCAGAATCACAATGCACATTTGAATGAATAATCAACGTCATAAGGCCATAGTATTTGATAAAGAATAAACTAATTGAATTATGTTTATAGAAAAGTCAAAGCAGAGGCCTTATAGAATTAGAAGAAAAGAAACAAATCATGATTCTAGTGGAAGCCACTTGCAATAAATGATCCCTAACTGAGAAGAGCAAAACTTAAAAATCCAATGTCAAGGAGGGGGGAAGGCGCAAGAAGGTTTCCATATTTCAAGATGTTAATGCTGGTGTCAGAAAATCACACTAAAGCTTTACACAAACAGGCAGAAGCAAACAGATAATAAAGTACTAGTTAAAAGAAACACGCATGTTGAGAAGGACGTACATGTTACAATTACTTTGCAATTCAGGAGTTGATAAATTGGATGATGCGTTTTGAATGGCGGACTGGTACTTTTGAGCTGCTGCCCCAAGTTGACTAACCTGCATAAATAGAGTACCAACTGTCAGTTACAAATTGATGGATATCAGGAGTAATAGTGATTATTATAGATGTAATTTTACAAATAACCGTGTCAATTTAAATGCGAGTTAGTACTTTTGAGGAGAAAGCAATATGGGGCCCGATATTCTAATGTGATATAAGATAAAGTTAAACCTGAGGTATCAATAATCTCCTAGGAATAAGTTCTTCATGGCGTCGAGCACAGAATTCCCATGAACATATCTGAAAGAAATCATTAGTGGAAATATATCATAAACTGAATATTGCATCCAGGACATATAACTATGCAAGTTGAAAGCACAAATACGCACGCACAGACACAAAAAAGGGAGGAAAGTATCTTTTACACAACCTTAAGGTCTGGAGAAAAAACAATTCGAAGTTGGCCATCACGAACAACACGAAGTTGCTCAAAAACACTTTCCTGTATGGCTTTTGCATAATCCAGGACGATCTGACCAGATGCGTTGTGATATTCACGAGGCATGTCAAGATAAAGTAGTTCCTCCATAGTACCACTTTCGTACTTGATCTTGAAAAGCCTGGGAAGAACTTCAGCAGTTGCTTCTGAAATAGCAAAAGAATATTCAGATTCCATCAAGATCAGAAGTCCAAAGGGCTTGGCAAAAGCCATTAAAAAATGGGCATACAATGGAAAGTTTAAATTCCAACCAGCAGATGTGATAATTGAACCTACCAAAACCACGCCCAGGCTTGCGATTGCATATTTCACAATGCCATACATCCTGAAAGTTCCAAAGAGGATGGTGTTTATATTGCATCGACTATGATATGGTGGCCAGTAAATAGTAAGCTTTCAATGAATCTATGTTCTAATGATTATTCCAAAAAATCAAAGCAAAATAAATGTTATACACCGTTACAAGGTATCAAGTTTAATCAAATTTTCTACTACTATTATGCCAACTAATACAAGGACAACCACAGTGGGATTCTCTAGTAGCAGACCTGAGGAAAAACTCCAGTTGTTTGTCGCCCACTCCCGTACATGGAAACACACCACTTCTTTTTGGCATGAGGTGCAAAGTACTCGTTAACGAATTTCCTCCAGAAATCTATGTTGTTGTCCTACAGACAAATTAGACTTATAAGATAGTCATCCCCTCAGACACAACAAAAGATTCAAAACAACATATTCTTACTTCAGGTCTGTGTTGCTGCTGATACATGTAATGAGTCAGACGCCGAGCACACATTCCAGGTTCATATCCTGGTTTTACAGTAGATCTCAGTGGCAGGTTCTGCTGTTGGAAATGTTGTTGTAATTGTGGCCGTTGAGGAGGCATACTTTTTAAGAGATGTTGTTGCTGATGTTGTTGCAATAGATTAATTTGGGCAGCTGCTGCCTGAGAGGACTGTCTAGACATATGTAGAAACTGCTGCTGGTGTTGTGGCTGCTGCTGCTGCTGCTGCTGCTGATGCAGATATAATGACTGCTCCGATTGTTGGGGCTCCATTTTTACTGGTGCCAAACCTCTCAGTGATTGAAGCCGTTGTGATTCCAATTTCACCGGACCAAGATTTCTCAATGTTTGCAAATGCTGCTGCTGCTGTTGCTGCTGCCCATGTTGATCATTGTTGGTCATTTGAGGTTCCAATTTTACTGATCCAACACCAGCCAACCCTCGAATTGCTTGAAATTGTTGTTGTTGATTGCTCTGAAGTGCAGAAAACTGTTCCATCGACTGTTGACTATGTTGGAAGTTCTGGGGTTCAAGTTGTTGTGACTGCTGCTGATCTGATAACAACTGGCTACTAGGAAGGTTAGAAAATTGTGGATTCTGACCTTGGACAGATGAAACAGGGTTTGTCATATTTGATGCTACAAATGATGAGGAAGGATTATTGAAGCTCATTCCATTGCCAACACCAGAAAGAGGGTCTGGCTCTGCACCAGGGTCAATACCACCAGGGTGGCTACTGCCAGGACATGGAAGTCCAGAATTAGGAGCCCCGTTTCCAAACGATTGATTAAGGAGAGATGACACATTGGACATATTACCAAGCATATTCATATTATTGAACTGATTGCGGGGCGATACAAGTGAAGAAAAGGCTGCCTGAGAAGGCAGCAGACCACCTTGAACTCCCAGCAATCCAGAATTAGATCGCAGAAGTGAGGGTGAAACAGACTGAGCACCACCTATAGGAGTGGGTGGCCCCGATGTTACCATCTTTCCCAATCACAAGCTACAATCGCTGGCTAAAGAAAGACAAAACCTACCTAAAAAATGAATACAGTTAATCTGCGTGGAAAACTGAAACAAAATTCAACTCAGAGAGCATTCTTCCCAATACCCAACCCCACAGGCTACAGGTTCATTATTGTGCAGCGATAGAAATGGATAAGTTTTGAGCCTGAGCATGTAGCATTCAGTTTTTCCAAGCGCAAGCCATAGACCAAAGAAAACTGAAACGAAGGAACACCTTTTGGTTCTGACCATTATAGAATCGCACTGTCTTCCCGCGACCTCGATGTTCCGTATGAATCTCTGCACAAAAAACAGGTCAGATCCACATTAATTTTAACATTTAGAAGAAAAGCAAATACTACAACGAAATCAAAGGCATAGCTCCCGAACCCTGAATTTCATCAAAAGACCCGAGACTAACTTAAGTTCTTTTAAAGAACCAATCAAATCTCAAAAAAAGAATCCAAATCTCAAACCCCCCAGGCCTCGGAAGAAAATAAACAACCAGTTAAGCAATTAGATAAGAAGATTATGTTCACCACTCCAATAAACTCCCATGCTTAAAATCCCCAATAAAAATTCAAGACGCGGAAAGACAAAAACTCTATGACACACTAACGCAATCCCCACCCATAAGGCGGAAAAGAAAGCAGAAAAAAACTGACAGACAGAAACAAGTCGATCAAAAAGAAATCAAGGATCCAAAACGTCAAACGAGTGAAACAACATCTTGCAGTCGCATCAACTTGAAAGAGAAATTAGGAGATGGGAAATGGAAGACCTCAGAGGACTCACCAGGTACTGAATAAGAAAGTTGAACTGCTTGAAAGTCGGCAAAAATCAACGAAAGAGCATAAACAAGAGAAGACCCAAATTGACTTAATTGTGGAGGTTTAAGTTATCAGTAATTGGGCCTTGTTGGTTCTTCCTCCACTACTTGTTCTCGTTCTTGTTCTTGCTGAAATTGATATTGGAATGTGTCAGCTGAAGCTTAGAGGCAAAGATTTTCACACTCCAAGTACTCATGGTGGGATTCTCCCACAGTAGGCACGCCCTGTTTCTCGCTGTAACTTAGAGAGAGAGAGAGAGAGAGAGAGAGAGAGAGAGAGGGAGGGGAGGAGGAGGGAGACTGTGTCCTTGCGGACGTCAAAATTGTATTCGATCGGATTGAATTTTCTTCATTCTTTCTCTCTATCTCACTTTCTCTCTCTAGGTTCTGTGAGAAGTGAAGTCAAATGTTAATTCTTGTTTATCAAATATCGGTTATGCATATAATGTAAAAATCATGGATCCATACATAACATAACATGTGTTATGTGTTATGTGTTGTGTTATGTGTTATGTGTTATGTGTTGTGTGTAGTCTACCCACCCACGCAGCGCGTGAGCTACGATTATAGGTTGCGGTCCGGTGACCCTATAACTCACCTTCTATGTCCCCTAAATTACGAGATTGCCATCACTTATGGTCTTCAATTTCTAAAATCCTGCCAAAAAAAAGAAAAAAAAAATTTTTTCAATTCAACCATGTCTGAGGTATTGGAGCTTACGACTTATTAATCAAATACCTTAGTATTAAATATTTGAGTGCAAAAATTATAGGAACGAGAATGAATATTTCCGAACCATAAGAATCAAAATGAGTATTTTGGGAGTAGAATGACCAAAATGAAATAAGGTCGAAAATACGAGAAAACCAAAATTTTACTTTTGAGGTGCATAATAAATGGGAATGAGGATTCGAAACTTCGACAATATTAATCGAAGATATATGCCTTAATTATTATGGGTGGAATAAAATTTAATATTTGAGTGTTTTTTGCAATTTAGTTTTTTAAAAGATTTCAATTTAGTTCTTATGTTTTAATATTTTTGACGTGTGTTTACATTGGTGAATATTAAATTTGACATGATAATTAGTTTACCTTACATTATTTAAGTATCGACAAGTCAAAAGGAAAGTCGATGGATGTCTTCTACTGACCACCGTTATATTGTTTTACAATTAAGAAAAATGATGGTATAAAGAGGAGAGAGAATATACATCTTTTATTTTTGTTCGGAAAAATAAGCCGTTGTTAACGGTGGTCGGAATGATTACCTTCTAACGTATCAGCCCTTAATATTATTCTTACCTGATACTCAGTGAGTTGAATGATGTCACTCAAGAGAATAATCTTTCTAATTTGTCCTCTAACTCTAATCTAAACATAAATTTTGAATGTAGCCTTATTTTTATTTTGAATTTGTACCATCTGATTGAGCATCGTATTTTGGTTAATATTAACCTTCAATATGATTGAAAAATATTAAAACAATATGGACTAAATTAAAAATGCACCAAAGACACCAGCATAATTTTTTTTAATTATTAATTTTGTTGCCGTATTATTTCATAATATATATCTTTATTTGCGTCCAAGTTAAATATGATTCTTATTATTAAAAAAACGTTAAATTTTATTCTCGACAATATGCTGTCAATTTATTATTGTTACTTCTCTCTCTTGAAACAAGTTATTGAGAAAATTAATTTGATCATTAGAATTTAATTATATTTTAAGAAAAATACTTAGTTTTTTATGGGTAAGGAACAAATCTTTAACTTGTCATTTTTTAAAAAAAGTTTATGTTTTTTTCCTTTTATCTCTTCTAATTATCAAATATTTGATAGCGGTGAAGACAAGATTGATTGATCCTCACACGGATCCATATTTTAAATACTTTTATAGTAAATATTAATTTGATGTGTACTCCTTTTAAATTATATAATTCATGAATAACAGTTTGAAATTAACCATTCATCATTTTAATAAATAAACATCTGCCAACACAATATAGTGTACCAGTAATTGACATCTACTATTTCTAGAATTTCAAATATCTATATTTCAATTTGTTCTACTAAAAATATATAATAAAATAAACAAACACCTATCATTCAAATAATAAATTAGGTATCACTTATTTATGGCAAATGTTATTGTTTTCGAAGTAATTAATTATATTCACTCGACCAGTCAAACGTCCACATTTAAATTTCTGTTTAGTTAGGGATTTTATAAATATAATAACTAATTTCTCGATTTAAATTTGTCATACGATTTTTCTTTTTCTAGGTCTTTGATTTATTT